TTAATTTTATTTAAAAATTTGTAAATACTTTTTAATTTTCCAGGCAAATTTGCCTGGAATACGGTTTAAGGGATAATACTTGGAAATATAATAAAGGAACAAAAATATTAAGTATAAATAAAATAATACAAAGCCATTAATTGATTTTATAATATGGCAATTAATAGAAATCAAGCAAAATTGTTTATAATAAAATTTTATTGAAACCTTGAATAGAAATAGTAATAGAAATCAAGCAAAATTTTTTTTAATAAAATTTTATTGAAACTTTGATCAGAAATAACTAAATCAAATTTGATAAAAAATTTTTAAATAAACTTTAAAAAAAATTGATTTTTTAAAAAAATATTTACAAAAAAAATTTGCTTTATTTCTATTGACTCACCCTCATATATTTCCAGATTCATTTGTGGCAAAAAATTCTTTAGATACAATTGTATCTAGTGATGTGCCATTTATAATATGACATCTGAAAATTTTAGCGTACATAGTTCTTTTCATTGGTTGGCAGAAGTGACCGGCTGGAAAAATTTTATTACAATACTTATTGTCTATTACGTTTTTATAATAAATAAAGGAATTTTGTTTTATATAAATCAAAGGTGTTTTTCACCTTAAAATTTAAAATTTTCCTAAACTTTATTTTTTTCAACAACAAATTTCAACACCGCAATAATGTTGCCAGCAACCAATTTGATTAGATTTGGAAAATTGGTAATAAGAGAATAATAATATTTTTATTAATGACAATTGTGACAGATTAAAATGAAATTGGATTAAAATAAAATTTTTCTATTTTTTAAGCAAAATTTTAAAATTTTTTAGAGGACATTTTTGGGGTTTTTTAGCATTAGGGTTAGGGTTTAGGGTTAGGATTATTAATAAACAAGTAGATGTGGGTTTTATAAGCTTTAAAGGTGAGCAAGAAAGATCCCCAGTTTCATTTTAATCTGATTTTATTTTAATCTGCGACAATAATTAATTATATATTAATTATTTTAATTATTTCGATATAAAATTACAGTAAGATAGACGATGATTTATATATATATCCTTATTATATTTGCAAAACCTTCTCTCAAATTCATAGTGCAAACATTCTCACTGTTCATACTCAAAATATTCAACTCACAAATTATAATAATAATGACTGTGAATCCATTCCAATTCCTATAATAATTGTTCGAGCAAAGTTTTCACTAGATGGAAGCATGTTCTTTACTGCTAGTTATAATCATACTTTAATTATAAGTTCTGCGGTTCCTCAACACCACGTCTTTTTTCTCAGCTAAATTCGTCAATTCCGACTTCTCCACGAATGCCCACAACTCCTTCAATACTACCACTTACACCCACACCACTTCCTATATACTCTAAAATACATACTATAACCTTTGAATCAAACATTGAATCTCCATGTATTCTTCCAAATTCAAGTTACTTAATCATAGGAATTCGTGATTCTAATTATCTTCACTACGTTCATCTTCAACATAGATGATCGGGTATCGTTTACAGCAATGGATATTGTTACTAGTCTCAATAATAGTGGTAAATACTTAATGGTCGCAACTAATGATGAAAATGGTAGAATTATCATATTTAAAACATTTAATACAATCAATTGTAGCATTGATAACCAACAAAATGATATTAACAAGAATGAAGATATTATGTCTTCAATATTGATCCAATTAGCAAACTTTTATGACATACCTTCACCAGAATCGTCTCCAATCTCTTCATCTCCAACAATTTTATCGATCACTATTCGAAAATATACATACCCGAGATTACTCTAGCATTCATCAGGAAAATATTTTTATGCCTGTGGTATAGATGCCTATCTACGTGTCTACTCAATTGAATCCAAAAGATTAGTTGAAAAATTAAAAGGTCATGTTAAAAATAATGGTGATTCAAAAATTAGTAATTCAAAATCTGATAATGATAAATTAAGTGGTCACTCCGATGTTGTGCATGAAATGTGGTATGATGAAGAAAGAGATTTGTTGATTACTTGTGGTTTTAATAAATACGTGAAAATTTGGGGAAGTGATGAATTATGCAGAGAATTGATGAAAGACTTGAAAGAAGAAGGAGAGAAAAAGAGGAATCAAAAGTTTTGTCGCTTATAAATTCTTGCCCTTATTGTGAATATAGCAGAAATATCTTATATATTGATATACAATAATAGCATAAGTGTCCTTTATTTTTTATCAATTTATCAACTTAAATCCAGTCGAAGAACCTGATAAATATTTTTTAAACTCATGAAAAAGTTATACAATTTAAATAGTGAATTACAAGATGCAGCAAAAATTTTTACACGACATTATGGGTTTAATTTGATCAGAATTCGATATAAGTTTAGTAAATTAGCCATTTTTTGTAAATATAATAAAAAAAAATCAAATTATGTATATAATAAAATCCGCAGATTCCTAGATTTTAAACACTGCCTATGAATGTGAAGTATTTATTTTCAAACTTAATTACACTGGGCATAAATGCTGGTAAACTTTACACCAAAATTTCATATTTCATCATTAAAAACTCAATATTTGTCATTAACAATATAAACTCTATCAAAGTAAACTTTACACCAAAATTTCATATTTCATCATAGTAAACTTTACACCAAAATTTCATATTTCATCATTATAAAAAAAACCAAATAGCTGGCAAATAGAACAAAAACTCAATATTTGTCATTAACAATATAAACTCTATCAAAAATTTAAATTTCTCAGTTTTAATAATATTATCTGGGTCTTTGTTAGACGAATATTCATAAGTTAATGATAATTAAAATAATAAATGATTCTATCAACTAATTGATTGGTGATAAATGATTTTGGCCGGTATTCTAAAAGATTGACAATATTTTTTGTGACAGATTTTTCCAGTAAACGCCGCTCATGATCTGAAGTGCCATCGTATATCTTTTTTGATTGGTTTAACTTATAATTTCGACGTCTTTCGATGTTCAATCTCCGTTTGTAAATATCCAAAAGTTGTTTTACATGATTTAAAGTAATTGAGTAGTCACAAATGTATTCCATTATATCGTTGGGTTTGTGTTGTTTTCTTATACGCATTACAAATGTGTGATATAGTTCATATTCGATTAAATAACTTTCATTTTTATAAAGTAGACTAATGTTTGCTTTGATGATAGCCTTTCTGATATCTTTCTTGTGTTCAATGGAAAATGATTCGTACATTGAATTGATTATTTTAATTTTCTCAATATCATATTTTGACAAAAGATCGATTTCCTTATACAAATTTTTCAATTCTTCCATAAAAATATCATCTCTTTTACAATTGCACATGTCATATTTTGCGAAAGACTGATATATGTTAACAATAATTAATGAAATTATGCAAATCATTAAGAGTTTTTTTATGTTGTTATTATTTCTTGGTTGTAATTCGATTACTCTCCAACAATAATTTTTGTGATTCGAAAATTTTTAATTTTTCAACATTGAACAGAGCTCCTATTTATAATCTTTTGGAATTGAGAGATAATACATGATTTTACAATCCACAAGTTCAGAATAAATATTCGATCAAAAGAACATATATAGACTCTACTAGGGCAATTATATTTGGAATTCTATTTGTGGAAGTTTTTGTAGGCGTGCGTCATTACATATTCTGTATAAAGTGGCGGTCTTTCCTTAAATTGAAACAAAACAAATTCAAACTTGTAATAATTAGTTGTCGGGCATATGTCATAGTAATTATTCGAAAATATATTACTAATATTAATTACATTAACGCGCATAAGAATTTTTGTTTCACGAAGGTTAACCATTCGGATCGCATACCTTCATTCGAGATATAACTAAACCTTAACAATTAAAAATTAATCTCTTAATAATTATAGACGCGTTTTTCACCAAATATTTCACGCATAGTGATGCGTAAGACCCATTTCTTTGTTTCAACAATGTTCATTGTGATAATAGCATTCACATATTTGCTTAATCTAAGAAAAGCTTCATGAATAGAATTCCAAGAATATTTTATTTTAAAATTGCCCTTATTTCGAGAAACATTTAATTATTCTAAATTTATGTATATTATATATATTCACTCTATATATGGTCCTTTGCCCGAAAGCTGAATAAATTTATATTTCCGATGCCAGTTATCACGGATTACGTGTACTAAGACACGAACTTTTTGTCAAATAGGTCAAAAGACTATATATAGACACTAGTGACAAAGACTTTTATTTCTTTAATGTGCAGCACTAAGTAATGAATAAAGAAATTTTCATTTTATTTAATTATACATATAATTTCATATATCGGTATCGTTGAGAAAGTGGCGCACGTATTTGTATGAGTATTTCTGAACGAATACTGTGGATTTTAGTACAAAAAATTAACCAAACTGTTAGATTAATATTCAATTTAGTTTATTAATTCCAAAATCTTATAAATTTGGGCTCTTTGCGAAAATAATACTTTAACTTCTTTAGATTTTCATTGTAATGCATTTTAGAGAAGCGAGCACTGTAATTTATTAATATCAGCAAATTTTTTAAAATAAAGTACCGGACAGCAAGATCCAAACTTTGTAATTTATAGTCAAGTATGATTGGCTAATTTTTATGTAACAAATTCTTATTGGTTAAAAAACTTAAATGAAAGAGAATAATATATTAAACGATTACATATAAACTTTAAGCTCTTTAATATATACTTTTAATTTTATAACAAAAATTCAAAGCTTACAACTTCATTTATCATATTTTGCGAATGGTTGATAATTGTCACAGATCATAATAAAATCGGATTTAAATGACCTATATAACTCTGGTAAACATAATATTATAAATTTAGTAGAGTTATTTCGTAACTCTGGTAATATAATTTTGGTAGAATTAATTAGTAACTCTGATAAACGAATTAATTCGTAACTCTGGTAAACTTAATTTGGGTGGAATTAATTTGTAACTCCTGGTAAGTATAATTTTGGTAGAATTTTTTAATAGTTAGTATAACTCTGGTAAACATAATATTATAAATTTAGCAGAATTATTTCGTAACTCTGGTAATATAATTTTGGTAGAATTAATTAGTAACTCTGATAAACATAGTTTGGTAGTATTAATATACAACTCTGGTAAACTTAAATTAATTTGTAACTCTGGTAAGATAATTTTGGTGAATTAATTAGTAATTTTGGTAAATAATAGTTTTGGTAGAATTAATTTGTAACTTTGGTAAGCATAATTTTAGTAAAATTAATATGTAACTATGGTAAGCATTATATTGGTAGAATTAATTAGTTACTTTGATAAGCATAATTTTGGTAGAATTAATTCGTAACTCTGATAAACATAATTTTGTTAGTTAATTTGTAACTTGGTAGATAATTTTGGTAGAATTAATTCGTAACTCTGGTAAGCATAATTTGGTAAAATTAAATTTAATTCTGGTAAGCATAATTTTGGTAGAATTAAGTCGTAACTCTGGTAAGCATAATTTTGTAAGAATTAATTCATAACTTTGATAAACATAATTTTGTTAGAATTATTATGTAGCTCTGGTAAACATTATCTTGATAGAATTAATTAATAATTCTGGTAAACTTAGTTTTAGTGGAATTAATTCGTAACTTTAGTAAGAATAATTTAGGTAGAATTAATTCGTAACTACATCAGCAAATTTAATAGGGCGTAATATTGCACAATAATTTACAAAGCGTAAGAAAACCGTAATATTACGTAATA